CACGGGCTCAGGCAGTTCGCTCACCTCAGCCTCCCAAAGCGTGAGATTACAGGCTGAGCCACCGAGCTTGGCTCAGTCTTAAATTGTATTAAAAAAACAAACCATTCAGTTCCGGGTACTTTGTTCTAAGAGAGATTTTGATACTATATAATTATTAAAAAATAGAAATGATAGACTGGATGCAAGTGACTTATACCTGTAATTCCAGTGCTTTGGTAGGTTGAGGTGAGAGGTTCACTTGAGAACTAGGAGTTTAAGACCAGTCTGGGCAACATAGCAAGGCCTTGTCTCTACAGAAAATATTGAAAAAATTAACTGGGCATGGTGGCACACACCTGTAGTACTAGCTACTCTGGAAGCTGAGGTGGGAAGATCTCTTGAGTTCAGGAGTTAGAGGCAGCAGTGAGCTATGATCAAACCACTGCACTCCAGCCTGGGTGACAGAGTGAGACCCTGTCACCGAAAAAGAAAAAAATAAGGAAAAAAAGAGTAGGAAAAAAATCACAGTTGGAAACTTCATTGTTATCTTTAAATCTTCAGATGGTCTGTATATGAACTAGGTTAGATTGTACATTTATTTTTTTGCCCTTGAGCACATTACTCATAGCAGTGGGGGAAGTTTCAGGTTGGCTCAATGTAAAAAAAAAAGCTTTTGAACCATTAGAACTGTCTAAAGATAGAATGAATGGAATGAAGTGCCTTATTGAGTCACTAGAGAAGTACAAGTAAGAGTATGGAGCAATTCTCTGTCTTGAAATGTAGTAGAGGGAATTCATGCCTCGGGTAAAGACTTGTTCAAAGCAATTTTGAAGGCCCTTTTTAACTTAAAATTCCAGGTTCAGTAATATAGGGATAATAGTACCTCTAACAGTTATTGTGGTGAGTAAATAAACAGTGCATATAAAATTTCTTATACATTACATGGTACACAGTTTGTGCTCACTGAATGTTTTTTTGCCTTATTTATAAGATAAGAATAACCCTTTCCTTGACCTGGTACAAGTGAAGTAAATGAATGTAAACATACTTTAAATACCCTTCAAGTTCTTTGCAAGAATAGGAGGTGTAGATCTATATCTGACATCTGGCCAGGCACCATTAGGGGCATTTTGCTTCAATTTGTTAATTTATAAAGGGAGACCTTGACTTCTAGGTTGTTTGTTGTTCTAAGTGGGGGAAGGGCCTGACTTACCTGCATTCAGAATGGATAGATTTGCCTTGGTATGGCCAAAGAATGTAATGGTTAAAACATAGACTTTGGGGATTCCAGTCCTTCCTTACTAGCTGAGTCTATTAGGGAGTGATATCATCTTATGAGCCTCAATTTCCTCATCTGTAAAATGTGGGTGCCTCATTTAGGTTTGTTGGGATGATTTACATAATAATGTAGGGCCAGAGCTTGGCACCTAAGTGCTCAGTTAGTAATAGCTGATCCTGTTGTTGTTCTTATTCTTCATACAGTAAGAGAACATTTCCAAATGCTTCTTTGAAGGCCTATAAGATTGATCTGGAGAGACTCCTTCTTTCATACTTTTGAGAAACTCCTTTTTGAGTTAGTTCCTGGTCTGTGGGATAGACCAGTGCTATTTATAGAAGCAGAACATGAAGTAAGAATAGCTATGGCCAGGCAGAGGAGCAGTTATAGGACTCAAGGTTTTGTGTTTTGTTTGTTTTGTTTTGTTTTTAATTTCAATGTATTGTAAGAAAAGCAAGCAGTGTTACAAGAGAGGAGCGGGTTCTTAACAATTCTGCATTCAGTGAGTCCTTTGCTCTGGATTCAGATGCTGCACAGAAAGCAATATGAATGCTTTATGAAGAGGCTATTAAACACCAGTTCTGATATTGACAGTTCAGGGTCAGCCACTTTCTAGATGGACAAGTTGCTTAACCATTTTTGATCTTCCATTTTATCATTTACAAAATGGTGATAATTATACTCATCTATATATGAGGTTTTGAGAATTATATGAGTCAGTGAAGTAAAGCCTCCCTAGTTATGGTAGATGTTCAGTGAAATATCAGTAAAGAAAGGAAGATGTAATCCTTGCAGATACTGATTAATTATAACTTTTAAAGTCTATTTTAATAAGGTTCTGGTTTATGTTATTATCTTATCTAATAGAATACTGAAGGTTTTAATATAAAGTTAGAAGATTTAGATTCTTCTGTAGCCAATCATGATTTCCCAGAAGTGTTCTGTGCTCCATTTCCAAGCCTTTTCAGCAGTGAAGCCCAGTACTTTAGGAAATCCCATCTCAAATGTAATGGGTGCTATTTTTTATGCCATTCATTTGGCCTGTTTGGCCTGTTTGCCTGTTTGACTTTGTTTTTTAAATTTGCTATTGATTACATTTTCTTTAATGTTTACCTTGAACTTCCTTTGTGTTTTCAAAAGGAAACTAAAAGCAGTACTTGTTATACCAGAGCCATTTTTTATAGGGTAACTTTCTTTTCTTTTAAGGTTTGTTTTTTTTTCTGGTTGCAAGTAATAGAAACTCATTTAAGTTAGCTTAAGAAAGAAAAACAATTGCTTTATAAGAACATGGTTATGTCAATTTGTCACTGTTTGTCAATTTGCTATTTGCTCACAGTTAGGAAATGTATCCAAACCTTAGAAGAAGTCTATAGTGAGGAACTGTAGAGTCCTCAAGAAACTCTTTCCATATCTGTCATTCTGTTTCTTTGGCTGTATAATCTCATATATCTGCTGCTTTCTGAATATCTGCTGTTTGCTGTGTGACTTTGGACAAGTCTTAGTATGTCTGTTTCCCTGTTTGGGAAAAAAAGGGTATTAGTTTCCTGTGCTGTTGTAACAAATTACCACAAACTGAGTACCTTAAAACAACAGAAATTTATTATCTCACAAGTCTGGAAGCTGTAAGTTGAAACTTAATATCCCTGAGCTGCAATGGTGTTGGCAGACCAAACTTTCTTCAGGAACTCTGGAGCGGAGAATTCATTCCTTGCTTCTTCTAACTTCTGGTGACTGCCAGCATTCCTTGGCGCTTATGGCCAGTTTTTGCTTCTGCCTCACATTACCTTCTTCTCAGAATGAGTTTCTTTTTTTTATGTGTTTCTTTTTTTCTGTATTTATTAAGTCTTCCTTTATGTCTCTCTTATGCAGATACTTGTGACTGCATTTAGGACCTACCCATACGATTCAGAATCCTTAATTTAATCCTTAATTTAATCATATCTACAGAGATCCTTAATTTAATCATATCTACAGAGACTCATTTTCCTTATAGGATAGCATTTACAGGTTCCAGGAATTAGAACCTGATAGCTACTGGTGGCAGTTATTCAGCTTACTACAAATGGGAATCTTAAAGATGAATCCCAAAGTTGGCATAGAAAAGAACTCCATAAATGCAAGCCTCCTTCCTTCTCTGCATTACTCCTATATACACCACCACTACCTTCCTTTAACATTGTCTTCAAATGCTTTTCTTTTCAGGAATGTCATTATTACATTAAGTATGGACCTGCTAGGATAACAATAATAATGAAAATAATAACTAACACTTACTAAATGTGTACTGTAGCCCAAGCACTGTGATGAGTACTTTATCCCTGGGATATGGTTATCATTATAATCCCCATTTGACATATCAGAGAAATTTGACTCAGAGAAGTAGAATAGGTTAATTTGTCCTAGTTCACCTAACTAGTGTCAGAGCTAGGGTTCAAATTAGAATCTGTCTAATTCTAAGGGTTCTCTAATTCAAGGTATAAGTGAGACTACAGGTGTGCACCATGGCACTTGGCAAAAAGATGTTCTTAATTATTATACCTTGCCAGGTTCAAATCTCTGATTTCCTGTCTTGGCCTTCGATTAAAACCTTCCCTGAAGGTTTCTTGTACCTGCTGACTGGGCTTCATATCACAATTCACCAGGATACTTTTTTGTCACATACCTGTTCTTTAGCAGTTGTTTGGTACTGAGCAAATACAGTTTGTTGAAGGAAGAGAAAGTGGAGAGCTATATTCTAGACTGTATTTCCTCCTTGACTAGTTTGTTTGTTACTAGTTAGTGAGTTCCTAAACCATGGGGATTATGCTGATTTATTTGTGTCCTAGCACAGAGCCTGGACACAGAATAAATGTTTTGCTAAAGTGTAAGCTTCATCAGAGATTTGTTTACTCCTGTGTCCCTGCCTTAGAGTAACACATAGAATAGTTGTTCAATAAATATCTATTGGCTGGATGGATGGCCATCTTAACTGGGCTTGGTTAAAACTTACTCACTTGTTAACAATTACAGCTATCATTTTTTGGAGTATATACCATGTGCTAGGCACTTGGATGTATTGTCAGTAATCCTTACCTACATGTAAGGATGGGCTATGGATGAGGAGGGTAAGGGAGGTGAAGGAGTAAAAGATATTTCCTAGGTTTCTGTCTTGGATACTGATCCAACTGATGATGAAACCCAGGAAGAGGAGTGCAAGTGTGTGTGTTTTCTTTGCATTTGTTGTTGTTTGTCTGTTTTTGTTTTTTTTTTTGAGTTGGAGTCTCACTCTATTGCCCAGACTGGAGTGCAGTGGCACGCTCCCGGCCACCGCAGCCTCAGCCTACTGGGCTCCGGTGATCCTTCCTTCTCAGCCTTACAAGTAGCCAGAACTACAGGCACGTACTACCACACCTGGCTAATTTTTTTGATTTATTGTAGAGACAAGCTCTCGCCGAGTTGCCCTGGTGGATCTCAAACACGTGGGCTCAGGCAATCTACTCACCTCAGCATCCCGAAGGGCTGGGATTATAGGCTGAACCACGGAACCCGGCCTGTTTTTGTTTTTTTAAGATAGACTGTGTTTGTATTATCTGCAGGTAGATGCCAGGACTGTTCCTGGGACAAAGTCTTCAGAGATTGGCCCTCTGTTTGCCTTTTAGCCTGGAAATGGTGGTGTTCTTAACCTACCCAGAGTGGGGTTGCTTGTTTTAGTAACTGTAGGCTTAAAGCTGTTATTTCCTTTGTGCTCTAACTTGAACATGTTCAGTTTCTGTTCCAGATGATCGAGCTGAACAACGAACCTGTCTCATTTGTGGGGACCGCGCTACAGGATTGCATTATGGGATCATCTCCTGTGAGGGCTGCAAAGGGTTTTTCAAGCGGAGCATTTGCAACAAACGGGTTTATCGGTGCAGCCGTGACAAGAACTGTGTCATGTCTCGGAAGCAGAGGAATAGGTGCCAGTACTGCCGTCTTCTCAAATGCCTCCAGATGGGGATGAACCGGAAGGGTGAGTGATGCTCATAGCTCTTACTGGCCACCCTACTCATCACTTGACCTTTAGTGTGAGCTATTATGCTTTGGAATCACTCATTTCCCAAGCCTGCACTTTTTTATACCAGGCCTTACTGTGTACCCATAACTCCAAAATGACTCTGGCACAGATCCTGTCTGCAGGAATCTCCCAGTCTAGGTGGGGAGAAAAGACTGGTGAGATGTTAAGGATTCTGTGGGAGTGAATGCACAAACATTGTGTTTTAAGAATCCAATTAACAATCGGGTCCTAACTGGGATTAATATAGTCCACTAGTTATTTCAGAGGATGATGACAGGAGTAGAAATCTTGGATGGAAAAGTATGAAGTAGGAGGTTTCTGGAGGTGATATCATTTTGTTTGCTAGAACCATGGTGTACGCAGAGGCTAGGCATGACCAGAAGTGTGTGTCCAAATTGGTGAGGCATTTAGGATTTATTAGGAAGTTTTCCAAGAGCCATTAACCTGAGATGACAAGAATAAACTGATATTCTAACAGGATTAATATGAAGGGAAGCTATGGAGGGTGAATTGGGATAGGAGAAAAGCCACCTAGAAAGTGTTTACAAGAGTCTAGGAGGAGGTATGAACGATCTGAAGGAGGCAAGGGAAATAGCACAGATAGAGTGATGTTGTGAAAGAAGCTTACTTTATAGAAACTGGGACATACTGAAGAGTGAGCAGCACCAGAAGTTAAAGTTGAGGATTTGGATTAAGAGTAATGGCCCTACCAGGAAAAAAAGTCAGGCTAAAATGCAGGGTGGGGCCTAAAATGTTGGCCTTGGCAGTGCTGTGTTTGAGGTACCTGAGAAGGACACATAGAGATATCCACCAAGGAAGTTGGACATATAGCATTGGAACTGAGGTGGAAAGTCCTGCCTGCAGATGGAGGTTTTGGGAGCTATTGGCATAAAGGTAGCAAAAGTCTTGTCAGTGGGTAAAAGTCACCCACAGAGAGAGCTTAGATACAAACGAGAGAAGAGCCATTGTCAGAACCCTAGGAGGTATTCCCTAGGGTAGAGTAGGGTAGTGTCATTCAGCAGAAAGAATAGCGCCTCTAGCCCTCTGTGACCTTTGGCAGTTTGCTTTATATCTCTGATAATCAATTATCTCTACTTTTATTTTTATTTTTTATTTTTTCATTTTTTCAGTTGGAGTCTCACTCTGTAACCCAGACTGGAGTGCAGTGGCCGCTCCCCGCC